GTTGATGCTGATGATGATGATGCCGTTGCTTTTCGCAATTTATGTCAATGACCTACCCCAGGAGCTTGAAGTACCATCCTATTGTTTGCTGATGACCTCAAGCTCTGAAATGTTGTGGATATCCGTGGTGGATCTGATGCACTTCAGAGTGCCTTGGATAGGCTCTGGGATTTGTCAACCTTATGGTTGATGCCTAAAAATCAGGCGAAATGTTCTGTCCTCCTCATTGGAAGTGCTTGTCCTCCCACGCGCTATGTATTTGGTGGAAGTGAACTCCCTGTTGTAATTCAGCAGGTTGATCTAGGTCTCGCCCATACCTTATTGCTTCACTCTGGGGAAAATTGGAGGAAGGCTGCTTGTAGAGGGTTCCGTATGATATGGTTTACTCGTCCCTCCTTCGATGTCCTAACGGCCGATATTTTTGTGAAGCTGTTCTCAGCTTTTGTGCGACCCCAGTTAGAGTACTGTATCCAGGCTTGTCCACCTTGTCTTGTAAGGGACAAAATGGAACTAGACAGGGTTTTGCGAGTGGGTACAAGGTTAGTGTTGGGATTACGGGGGCAAACGTATCCCGAACGTTTGCTTAGCTTGTTTATGTACTCAATGCACTACCGCAGAATTAAAGGAGACTTGATCCTCACTTACTGTATCCAGACTTGTCCTGGCTATTTAGTCCCGCCAAGCTGCCTGGTCTCCGAGGTCACCCGTTGAAACTGCACAAACTGCGTTCTGACCGGGTAAGGACGGAAACTCGCTGGTCGCGTCGAGTTATTGAACGTTGGAACTCGCTTCCGGAGTACGTCGTTAGGGAGTCTACGGTAGGGGGTTTCGAGCGTCAGTTAGATGATCTTGGGTGGCAGTACCAAACCTTCCCCTTCTCCTAACCGACTTTTATCTTCAACTTTCCCTTCGTTTTTTTGATTTTCTTCTCACACCTTGGTATTATCATTATTTAGCTGGCATTCCTCCTCTTGTGTTCTTAGCTTACCTTCACTCTTTCACTTCACACAAACCGGCCTGGCAGGAACTGCTGGGCAGGAAAAGGTGGACAGTAATTGGTTGGACAGGGTGTGATTCGGTCTTTGTTTTAGGCTTTTCAACATCTCAAGCAGACCTGTCAATTCCCGATCCGACGATACGCTAAAGAAGAAACATTTATGGGATTATCCTATCGCTCCGGTCCCAACTGAACTTCTATTCCTAATGATCTCTATACGCTAATCAGACTAACCGGCCTATACTTATTGGGGCGGAATTTAGAATCACCCTGTGCATCAGTGCGCTTCATTTGGGTGGCCAACACGGTGTAGGCTCCCGTAATGATAACGTTGAGCGGTTATTACACCTATGTGAACATGATCATCTTTTTTGCGAGCACAACCTTCGGGCCCAGCACGCGCAGAAGGGTGGCATAGCACCCACCAGCCTCGAACCAGTCATGGACGCAACTCGATCACATCGCGATCAGTTACCGCTGAAAAGGATGCGTTCAAAACTGTCACTTGACTTGCAGCACGAGCGTTGACCCTGACTACGCGCATATTTGCGCCGACCGGGTGCTTTTCGCTAGACATCCACAACGGCAATGTGAGCTTACCAATACTTGCCAGCTGAGGAAGCCATATGCTCTGAATGTGTATCAAAGGACGATGGTATCTGATCTGAGTAAACGCTCACTAAACACCGTTGAATATCACTGGTCACATATCCGCCAAACGTTATTAGCAGCAGACATCACTTCATGTGGCAGATCAAATCGTCACACGTAACATTGGGTTTCTAGACAGTCTCTGGAAGCTATGGATGCTCGTCGACATGTTCCTTCTGAAAGCGAATGCAATGAGACATGCAAGGCTCTCAGGGCGAAACTGAGTACTAGCCAGAAAAGAGACCGCGAGGTTTGGTGGTCTCATCGTGTGTCGGAGATGGAGACAGCCGCTGCCGTTGGTAACCATCGTAAGTTATTCCGTCTTATACGAGAAAAGGGGCAGCAGGAGAACCGGTGTTAGTGAGACTATATACGGCGAAACTTGGCAGCCGATGCAGAGCTTACCAAAGCGCTTAGAGCGTTGGGCCTAACGCTTTGAAAAGCAGTTCAATCATTCAGAGTTGCCAGCTTCTTCATCGGTCTTTGGTCGCCCTACTCCTTGGGCTGTCACTCTGGATCCGCACGTATGCACAGATATGGAACACGAGATTCGGCGGCTGAAATTAAATGAGGCCGCCGGAGCAGATGGACTTTATTTAGCGCTCTTCATGTTTGGGGCCCTGCTCTTTTGGACGCTTTACATAACTTATTGGTGAATCTATGGGTGCGGGAGACTATCCAAACAGAGTGGAACCGCTCCGTTATAGTCCCAATTTTCAAGGGACGCTCCCGTTCGGAATGCCGCAGCCGTAGATGAACCGGTCTGATCTCAAATGCCTCTGTCTTTTTCCGTAGACTAACTGGCACCCGTTAAAGCCAGATGCGCGAAAAACAGGCCGGGTTTCGTCGAAATCGTGGCTGCATTGACTACATCTTCACATTGTCAATTGTTGGATCACTACCATGTTCTTTTGGCGAACTACCCTAGTCGTGTTCCTGGACATCAACTGAACTTTCGATTCATTTGATCAATGTGCCCTTTGCGTCTGTCTGCTGAGGAAAGGTGTGCCCGAGAAACATGTCAACTTTATCAGAGCTTTGTACGCGCATATTTCGGGTAGAGTGAGGATTTACAGCAAACTTTCGCCACCCCTCAATATCACCAGCGGTGTTCAACCAGGTTGCATATTGTCACCTTTCCTGTTTAACTTCGCCATTGACGAGGTCATGGGAACAGCTTTCGCTGGGCACGGCTTTGAAGATGTTGATCTGCTCTCAGGTGACCGACTTCTTGACTTGCAGTATGCCGACAACATTGCGCTCATCTGTGACAACTCACAAACGTGCCAAGCTGCAGTGGACAAGTTAGCTCTGGCTGTCAGTAACTTCGGGCTATGCTATGCACCGTCGAAATGTAAAGCCCCTCTCCAAGGTTGGCAAGCGCCCGATCCTGCGCTGACCCTTGGCAATGATCAGTTACAAGCCGTCCAGAAATTCGAGTATCTGCGCAGGTACATTAGCGCCCGTGGGATTGAAGATGAGGTCGCAAACCTTATAGAGAGGTCAAGGTCATTCGCCGATCTCCGCCACCTGTGGCACCGGCGTAACATCACTCTCGCTCTGAAGGGCAGCGTTTACAATGCAGTCGTCCGTTCAATTCTCATGCAAAATCTGACCCATTAGATCAGCCGACGTAAAGGTTTTAGTTACGTTCGACCATCGCTGCCTTCGCTGCGTAGCTATTGTCTGCAGGGAACACCGCGTGAGCAATTAGCGTATTCGGTGTTGCGTATTTGGTGCAGGAAAAGCGAGTGAACCATGGTTGGGCCGCATGTTGCGCATGCTAGCACACGGCCTTCTGAGTCATACGTTGTTGACACTCCCGGGGTCCGGATGGAAGAAGAGGAGGGGAGGCCATGCGCTAACTGGGTCTAGAGGAGTAAAATTCCTCACTTCGAATCTGGCGTCGATTGGTGCATTCCGACTGCCTGATTGGGGTCCCATGGACGATGTACACGCCTGCTTGAATACACTAATTGAGCTGACGAAGTGCCAACCTCAATAGCTTTTGTGTTTAGAGTCAGTTTTTCCCTCCAATCCCCTTTTCGCCTCCTCTGGTAACGATCTCAAACCCCCTGCATAATGTGATTTTAGCATTATGTTGCTATTTTAGCTTTTGTGATCTGTAATGGTTAATCTGTTATCTTTTTTGTATTGCGGCACATTAGCTGAGGTGTTCCTCACCCTCGGCTAACGTGTATTAACTGACTGACAGACTGCATTCGAGTTCAGTTCTCTCACGCCATTTACTCTTCTTTTGTCGCATTTTCAGATAAGAATGAATAGGTCAATGGTTTTTTTTGGAGGAGTGTGTGCTTGTACTTGCGGTTGATACAAGCCAGCAACTCGGTTTTCTACAATCTGTGACGTACTGCCGACTTGCTTTCAATCGCACATTCATTAGTCGTGTGTAGCAAGCACGTCTAGCTTTATTGAGTAGTAGAGGAATTTATTTTGTTTTTTTGTGGCGATTCGTCACAACTAGACTCAGACAGCGACTTATGCCACTGAGCCATGAGTGATGGCAGCGGACCGCCATGACTGAGATCTGACTGCGATATAGCGCGACTCCTCCACTGCCATGCATATTAAAAACATGCAGAGGACAGGGCTGGCCTTCTGAGCAACGACTTCCTTAGCAAGCTGCGACCAATCAAGGTGGCATGTGAGCTGCTAAGGCGATCACTATTAAGCTGTGGTCAATAGTCCAGTGACATAACTCGCTGGCTCGTAAGAGCAAGATTGTGGGTTCGAATCCTGCGAGCGCGCGCTACTGACTAGTCCCAACAGGACGAAACGACCGTCAACCGCTTTCCTGGATGTAGGGTGGCTGTCTGTCTAACTACGACAAATCTTCACCAAAATTCTTAACTTTAGTTCTGCAGTCGGGATACCCCGCATCCTCGCCACAACATACAGCTCTATTGTAGATCTGGATCACAAACTTCTCCCTAAACTGCAGTTATACGTTCGGTTTAACTATATATTCTCTCGTGGACATTTTCTTTATCTGGCTTCATAGTCATTCATTGTCCTGAAGCACAGTCAGAAGCCCCACGTCTTCATACTACTGTAAGGCATCGTTATCGTTCGACGTCGGAGGTAATTCCGCTTAGAGGAGCAGCTGGTTACAGCTGTAAGTCTAGGGTGCTGACGCGAAACGCACTGATTACCTTGTAACTAGTCCCCGATTGATCCCTTCATTCCGCATTCCTCCAACTTTAGTAACATGCTTAGTGACATGCTTATTTTCTAACTTGTGTTTTGTCTTTATTTGAAATTATAAAGAGAAATTGCTTTTTCATTTATTCGTCCTTAATTATTACATCGAATCGTCTTTGGTTACGTTACAGATTGATGAGCGTTCCAGCAGTTGGCGAAATCGCTTGTGATGACTTGAAGGAACGTCTGATTGCTCTGGAAAAGCTACTTGCAGATCCTTTATCGGATTGCTACATTGAGCGACTTTTGGACGTCGTAATTGCTTCCGTTAATGATGCCCAGGTTCTACCACAGACTAAAGAGAATGAATATTCTTTGGCTTTCTATAAAAGGTATCCCTTCACCTTGCTGATGTCCTTATTAAGAAAAATCGCTATGTTTTCACCAAGGTACCGGGCGTTTATGTTCACTTTAACGCTATCACAGCCACCAATACCATCATCAACGACAATACCTCAGATGTTTGAACTAATACTTCTCTTCCGTACAGCTACATTGACCTAAAGACTGAAGCATAATATTAGAGGGAAGGAGGACCTGACGTAACACGTAAACGCCCTAAGAGTTAAGGCGTCCACATTTTGTCGACAAAAAGCCACAAGCAGTTTACAATCCTGTGAAGATGAGTCGGTATCGGTGCGATGGCTACTCGGTAGCTTTCGCTGTCTCACATCTTAGTCAACCATTACCCCACAGACAACTTAGTACCAGACATAATTAATACAGACTGTCCGACTAGAAGACACGCCTCCCTTCGCCGACTGTTACTCATGTCCTGGCATGTCTCTGGTCATTTGGACTCCAGGCTGGAAGGCGACACAGACCCGTTTAGTATTCAGTGGCTTTGTTTCTCGCTGCCAACTCCACTTTTGTCCACCTAGAGCATCGCGCCATTCTACATCCGACGTGCCAGGCAACGCCGTTCTTAGTAAGCGATGACAGGACATGCGTAGCATGTGCCAAAGCCAGCGCAACTTGTCTAACATTATTTGTTTTTCTAATGAACTAACTTCAGTGCCTCCACCTAGCAATTGTTTGCACACATGGTCGTTGCGAACACTGGTGAAATCCGACAACAATAATCTTTCGCAAGCAACGATAGTTAAATCCTTAGGGATGCATCAGATCCTTTGACAGAAGGGACATTGTCTCACTCCCGTAGGGGAGAATGACCCTCACTCTGGCCTTGTAAACACTATCTTTTAGACCGTAGGGGAGGGGGTACTCTCTTCTTATACCATATATGTCACAGATTCAAGAATGTATTTTTACATTTTGCAACCCGTGTTCACGCGGTTATTGTTGCTGATGCAGCTGATAAGGTGCATTAAGTGATCAACTGCCTCGACCCACGAGGAATCACCAAATGGCTAGTGGTCCTGCAATAACGCTTTGCGCTTCGAGGGTGTGAAGTGCATGCGTAATTATGAGACCAACCTCAAGAGGCTGTCAATGGTTGACTGTGCTAGTTTACCATCGCCTATCATCATCTACATAATCAAAATCAACTAGTTTTCTACAAGGCAGCACCACAACACCCTCATCGTGAGATTCCGCATAGGTTCACTTCACAATGAAATTGAACGAAAATGGAAATTGGACAACCGCGACGAATGCCACTTGTCGAAGAGGTATCCATCAAGTCACCGTATGCCATTACAGACTGGCGCTCGATAACACAACACGTAAACTGTTCACATATTGTTGTAACCGCCGACTGTTCACACCCCACAACCGCAGAGCGAACACGAAGACGAGCCAGGACTGAATTGGATGCATAAAAACCCCCGCTTCCTTATATGGCATATACTGGTGGGTGAAACAAAGCTACTAAAGCACATCGGGGCCAACCACCAACACAGGAGACACTGAATGAGTCAAGCGAATAAAAGTGTTAAAATTGAAAACCGATTGCATGTGACAGTGAAAACGGTATTACTAACTTTATTAGCTGAAATGGGACCCGAGAAAACCTCCATTGCGAACGACGTATGCCAGCCAAGCAAGTTAAAGTAGTGATGCGTTTAATCCATTGTCAAGTAACAGACGATAGCGCAGCGAAAGCAGGTAATTAAGCGCTGTCACAAAAATATATGCCCAATATGCTTCCTCTTAACACATCCCTCTTAAAAATGAGTTGCCTGAAGCATGTATAGCTCTCCCGTCGAGCGTCCACCTACTGGGCTGTACAAATCTTCTTGTTCCTTTTAGCCTGTGTCAGATCTCGTTTTCTGAACATCACAACAGCCGAACTTCACGTCTGAAAGAGGTATTATGTTTCTGATTGTCAAATAGTTCATTGAGATTCAATCCATTGTCTTTATGAACCCCTGCATCTCGTGTGTAACGTGACCACACTTGGTTAGCATGACGTCTCCATAGTTGCGTACCAATATGTACATCATAAAGCACTGTGCCACGACGCCGAAAAACCGTTCTGTCATCCAATTCGTCCGCCGTCCCCGGTTAGAAGTGGCAAACATGAAATTTCCCACCATGAAACTCATTCTCCTTGCTCCGTATAACCTATTGTACTGCTGTTCCATGGTTGAATTTGTTAGCCCTACGGCTGGGCATTTAGGAGTCATCAAATCTAGTTCTGTCTCCAAAGCATGAGAGCTTCAGCGGATAACTTCCCATTTGGTGCGTTGGGATTTGGGTAACTCGGTAATTCCACAGAGAACTTTCCAATCTTTCGTCCAGCTTCCCTTCGATACTGATCGTTTCAGAGTGTCGACAGAGCTTTCGACTTGGCCGTTAGATTGCGGATGATATGGTGCTGTTCTCACATGATCGATTCCATTTTTTGCGCAAAATTCAGCGAATTGATAGGACGTGAATTGCGATCTGTTGTCCGATACAATCGTTTCTGGCAGGCCGTGCTGACTGTAAACATGTCTCAACGCAAAGATTGTGCTGCTTGTGGACGTGTTTCGCACCCCGATAACTTCAGGCCGCTTACTGTAAGCGTCGACAATGATGAGGAAAGAAACTCCTTCAACCGATCCTGCAAAATCCACATGTATCCGAGACCAGGGTGATTCAGGTTTCGGCCACGGTTGGAATGTCGTGCGCACCGGCAATTTGGTAGCACTACGGCATTTAGGACAGGATCAACCAAAGATTTCTATCTATTTATCCATCATCGGCCAGAAGTCGTAGATCCGGGCGAGTGCTTTCATGCGAGCGATTCCTGGATGCGCCTTGTGCAATTGTCGTAAAACCTCTTGCCTGATTACTTCCGGAATAACGATGCGATCCGAACAGACGGGAATCCACTTCTAACGGAGTCACGCCGCGTAAAAGCTGAGCCAGTTCTTTTGGGCACATCTTCGGCCAGCCCTGTCGTGTAAAAGTTAATACTTCTCGAAGCAATGCGTCATGTTCCGTGGCTTGTTGAACCATCCTGGCATTTCCAAGCAAGTTGCTTAAAGCTTCACGTACCATGTAGCTGACATCGGTTTCACCTACGACTGACGCGATGGCTGCATCTTCAAACTCACGGCTACCGGCATCGATTAATCTGGATAGGGCGTCCGCTTGTCTAATAGCCTCAGTTGACAAATATCTCATGCTAAAATCTTCTCCCAAAAGCAAAGTCGACTAATCGTGTACCCTGGAATACCCTCTTTGAATTCCAAGATCGCAAAAAGTGGCTTATAGTCCGTCAATAGTGTGAACCCGTATATTATTTTATGCAGTTTCTGAACAGCAAAGACCATTGCCAACGCTTCTTTCTCAATTTGACTATGGTTCTTCTCAGATGCGGTCATGGGTCCTGCAGCATGCGTTACAGCTTTTACTGAGCCGTCTGGAAACCGGTGTGAAATGACCGCCCCCATTCCTAGCTGGACGCGTCCGTAGTCACGAAAATTTCAAGATTCGGATTGTAGTGCTTAAGCAGTAGGTTTGACTTCAGCAGATATTTCAATTTCTCGAGTGCTTGTTGACATTGTCCGGATCAATTCCATTCAGCATCTTTCATCAGCAGATACTTCAACGGATGACGGTAGCGATGCATACACATTAAAAACTCGTTATAGTGATTCACCATCTTAAGGAACGATCCAAGTTGTAACACCCGTTGGTGCAAGCAATCGGTCTACTACCTCAATGTTTTCAGCATCGGGTCGTCGGCTGCACTCGTCAAACACGAATCCCATAAACTTGATGCATTTCACGAAAAATCTACATTCGTCTGCACGTAAACGGAATCTATGATCTTTGATTCTCATCATCACGTCATCCAGTCGTTGAGATAATTCATCCTGCGTTGCGCCCATTATGATGATATCATGCAAACAAGCTGCAGCTCCAGCGGCGCCCGTGAACATGGAATCCATGATTTTTTGGAAATTTGCCGGTGCGGTTTTACTTCCAAATGGTAGATGATTGTACTGGTAAAGCCCGCGATGAGTGTTGGTTATAAGAAGCTTTCTGCCTTTCGCATCAACTTCTAGCTGCACATAGTCGTCTGCGTCATCTATGGTAGCGAAATGCTTGCCTCCGTTCAGATTGGTGAACATATCCTCAGAGAGTGGAATCGGGTCTTTATGGCGTTCCAGTGTAGCAATCAGACCAATTGAGAAACCTGCGCACAAGCGAATAAAACCGTTCGGTTTCTCGATCACAACAATAGGAGCAGCCCATGGTGAGAAGCTGATTTGCTCAATTGCTCCAGCGTGCTGCAATCGGTCAAGCTCTTGTTCAACAAGTAATTGTGATGCATTAGGGACCGGATGTCTGGTTCGGTGTACTTGTTTTGCATCCAAAAGCAGAGTATTGCCTTCATTTTTCTGCAGTGTCTAGGTTCTGACTGGAAGACGCAAGCATACTTCGCTTGAAGTTGTTCCGAAATGTTTTGACCTAGCTACATCGGTACGGCTGTGTGGTGCATAATGACGTTACTTTCAGTGCAGAAACCATTAAGAGGTACATTGAACAGTTTAACTTTTTAAATCCAATCCATTCCAAAATTAAAATCACTGCATGAAACCAAGTAAATTGTCTTGCAGAAGTGTAGATCATTGAATTTTATTTCACATGAAATCTCGCCATCTAACCTCAGCGATTCATCGGACACAATTTTCGCTGTCAGAGTTGTATACCTGAATGATGATATGCCAAGCTACACCCACGTCGATGGTGAAAGGATGGTGATATCTGGTGCCGTTTCTAGCTGCACCAATGTGAGAACATTGATTTCCACGGTTATATACTTCCGCTTATCTACAAGCTCTGCGAAATATTGAGAGAATGGCCTTCATTTTCGCCTCGTGATACTTGGTCCTGCTAAAACTGCAGTTTGCACGTATTCTTTTTAGGAAACGAGCGTCTGAAGGCATGTGCATTAAGGCAGTGAGTTTCCTTGTGGCTAGACTACCTTCGCTTTTGGCATTGGTGCATTTTGTACTTGTATTCTCTCGCAAAATGACATGCACCACAGTTCCAGCATGCAGTCTGGGACTTCTGACTTGACACATGACGGTTCACACTTTTATTACAAATAACTGTGTGGCAAATCTGGAGTTCTGTCTTGGGGTCAGCGGTATCAATCATTTTTGTATCATGCCTCAAATTGATCAATCGCTGGCATGCGGCTGCGATCTCCTGCAGTTCCTATTCTAGTTTGTGGAGAATTCGTGTTGGAAAATCAGCACCAGTATGAGATTGGGGACTGCAAACGAGAATAAGACGCTTGTACTGATCTTCAGCCATCGTGCCCAGTTTGAAGCGTTTGCGTTTGCCGTTCACGATCTTGGCACCACTGACTGTATGGTGCCATCACGTCTGATAGAGTCTGACCATTGATGCGGACCACCCCAGGACCCTTATCCACGAAGACGGCATCCACCAGTCAATGATGGAACCACATCCCCTGTAACGTATGGTAACGTGATTTATTTGAGTCCATCGCTGGCTAGCTATGTGGGAATGACAAGTGGCAGTTGGGCGCTCACTTTGCCCAAGAGCAGTGGTACTATGAAACTGTCGATGTTAAATGCGCAGTTGCAAGAGACGCTTGCTATTGTCCGCTCATTCACAGTTAGGCCATTGCTTACCACCTACCTGAGCTTTTGAGGAGTCCAGACAGCATAGTGAGCTGGTGTCAGTGCGAATCCGTATGTTCAATTCACGACAGGTGTCTTTAACAGTACCAGGGCTGCAGCCAGTTTGGGGATAATCGACAACCATAAATGAAGAGCGTCTTTTGCTACGTAGTTAATGTTGTCATACGGGCTGCGCACAAACGGCTGCTCACAGGTGCAGCATTGGAGCTGAGAACTATGCTAACCCTAGCTTGACAAGTGGTTGCCGCATCAGTGTCTCCGGATGTGTGTAACCAATAGCAAGAGGTCAACTCGCTTTCTCTTAGTCCAACAACCACGTTGAAATGTAATTTCGGTACGCAGCACACGTCGATACCAAGGATATCCAGTATACAGGCTAGTGCAACTTATCAACGTTAGATGTCGCCCGGGAACTGGGATAGCGTAGCTGTTCAAGGTGCTGCTGCCTACTGGATTCTAGTGGGTGATGCTGGAAGATAGGTCCTGATAGCATCATTACAGTGGCATCGTGGCTGCTGTGAATTGAGCTGAGTATTACGGAAGGAAGTTTAGTATTTTGGCTCTGGACATGTAAATGAAATGTTTTCGCTTATCTACCATTTTGAATGCACCGGGTTTTAAATCTTCGCGACGTCTATTTTGGCATCTAATTGCAGTTTGTTGAAGTAGTCGTGGTTATACGTTGGATGAGATTCTACCAGGGCGTCCACACATACGCAGGAGAACCTTTAGTGTTATGAACCAATGCATTTGGCTCAAAAACTTTTCCGCAAGTCATCGGGGCTATAGCAGTGATCCGGTTCTACAGAAATCGAAGATATCCTGTTTTCAACCCAAGCTTTGTGACCAGGGGACTGAGTTTGGATTTTCTCTAACCAATGACTAACCTTGTAGAAGTAGCTCTCAGTGGGTTTGTTGGCGCTGCCCAACGGTCGAAAGGCACGCAAACTTCCCTTCTTCCTCTAGGTGCATTACCGTTGCGGCTATCATGTAACGTGTATATTTGCATGCCTCCTATCCCGAGGGTATTTGATGTTTTTATTTAGTTCGACAGTTATACTATGGCGATAAGAATTTTTTCTAACGTAGGATGATGGTTTACGTACTTGCATGCTTTTGTGTTACGCTGAGTAACACACTCCGTGTGCCTTTGGATCAGCCTCTTCAGCTTGGTTCAAACAGTCTCACCAATCCGCTACGTATGTGCAAGACAGGTCGATGGAGATGGAGGCGTTTCCGTGTTGCTCCTCCCAACACCGAAACACCTCCAACTCGCATACGGTCCTAGTGATCGAAATGACCGACATCTACTTCAAAGTGAACCGAGGTCTCAATGGACGTTGCATGTCGCAATCCAACCACACGGCGAGTACTCCAAATCCAACTTTGAGGTCGACGGACCTCTTCTTTGCAAACTTAGCAATGAGAGGGAATAGGTTGCCAGCTACAGCATCACCACACAGCTGGTTTAGAACACGATTGACACACACTCCAACGAGATTGCCTTTATCTGTGACAACTACCAAACGTGCTAAGTAGCATTGGACAAATTCGCATTGGCTGCCAGTCGTTTCGGTGTATACTTTGCACCGTCGAAATGAAAAGTACTTCTCTAAATTTGACTGAGACCTACCTCTGCGCTTACTGTTGGTGGTGATCAGTTAAAAGTCGTCGAGAAATTCAAGCATTTTGGCAGCTGTTTTAGCGCCAGTGGAATGGAAGATGAGATCATGAACCGTATAAGAAATGTACTGAGTGCTTTGGCAATCTCCTCTACCTGTGGTGCCGGCGCGGCATCACTCGCCGTGAAGGGCAAAGCTTGCAATGCAATCTTCCATTCGTCTCCTGTAAGGTTGTTAAACCTGGACCTTCAGGTCGACAGATAAAAGGCTAGTCACGTTTGATCATCACTGTCTTCGCAACATTGCTCATGACTGGTGTGAACACCACGTGAGCAATGATCGCGTTCAGCTTTTTGCATTTGGTGCAGGAAGAGCGAGTGAACCGCTCAGAACCATTATATCTCGCACCAGACTCCCAAAGTCTGGCCACGTCGTGCTTTGTTTGCGCGCCGGAGGTGTGGACAGAAGAAATGGGGGGAGGCCAAGTGATGAATTGGTCAGGAGGAATGAAGTTCCTTAATTCGAACTTGGCGTCGGTTATTGTATCCTGACTGCCAAGGATGATGAACACGTTTGGTTGGATACACTCGTTAACATGGCACAAAGCCGACTTCAACAGCGTTTGTAATGTGAGTTTTTTAGTTCTTCCTCATCCCGCTTATCCTTTCCCTCCGACCAAGGTCTCTGTCTTGAAGCATGGTATGTTAGTAAGCCATATGCTATCTGTTCTTTTTTGTATTCCATTAGTTTAGTATCTCACTTTTTCATATATATTTTTGTTTAACTGCACAATAATTCAAGTGTTTCTCACCTACAACTAATGCGTAGTGATGGAGATTGCACTTCAAATCTTTGTTAGCGTGATCCAGTTGGACCGAAGCACTATACACTGGCATGAGAGTTGCATTTTTTTCTCCGCTTTTCAAATGCATTCGACCAGTTAGACTATGGCATTTTGCTCTCCAATTTACAGACCTTTGGTATTGGTGCTCCTCTCCTCGTGTGGATCAGAAGCTTTCTCTTGCGCCGGCGCTTTGGGGAAAGAGTGCGTGAATCTCTATCAGATCTCATTGTGCAACAGGCATCGGTACTGAAATTCCTGTTGTTTTAGACGCTTATCAACGACAGTACTCACCTCATTAGCTCAAACAGCCTACTCAGTGCCGATGGGATTAAAATGTGGACGGCGGTCAATACACCAGCTGATGTTACACTACTTCAAAGCGATCTGAATAGGGTTTAGGCGTTGTCAGTCCGGAATCATTTTTCAATTAAATGTGGATACATGTAGAGTGCTGCACTTACAGCACCAGCTGACACCACTTTTTTTACTTCTTTTATGTGTTCTCCAATAGGTAGCACGATTTTTCCAACGTCCCGTTTGTTGTCATTCCTTATGGACTTACTTGAATTTAAGGTTTATAATGCTTCTACCGCGGCGAGTCCTTCTGTGTGAACATACTTTTGCTGACGATTTTTCTATATTCTGCTATATTCACTGTGACTGTTCTACGGGACTGTTTTGACCCGGTAGCCAAAGTGTTGGTGGTATCGACTACTATTCCAATAGTCCCGGATTCGAGGCTTGCTTTCTTCACCCGACGCGATCAAACAAGGTCGAAACGCGTCGTGGTATGCATCAACACCCAATTTCGATCTGTTAAGCCTTATCATTTTTACCCATGTATAACCATTGTTCCATTGTCTAGTCGCGTTTCCTGTATGTTTTGCCATCTCTACTTTTTACCACATCTGTGACTGCATCGCCAAATATGGGACTGCGCGTTTCGCACTCACCTCGACCTACTTCCTATTCTCGGTGCTTTTTTGGACTTTGTCTTAATGTAGTGTCGATATTCGTACGCTATCTTCTGGGACCCACACCATTGTATACGTCCAACTATCTCATTTTTATACACTCTTACTTTACGTTCAAGGTTTGCACATGTTGCGGCCCTTTTGCAATCATATCGCCGAAAACCACAGGACTTTTCCCTCATCGCCTCCCTTGGCCACGGAGCATTTGGCCGCGTTCAACTAGTCCGCGAAGTCACTACGGGACGCGTATGTGCAATGAAAGTGCTCAAGAAATCCCGCATGCTAACACAGCACACTGACTATTGGATTGAGCGGGAAATCATGGCTCGCGCAGACAGTCCCTGGATTGTACAACTCTACCATGCTTTCCAGGTGCTCACCCGTTCAGTGTGCGTTTGTCTTTCTCATTACAGTTTTTGTTCACGAACAAAACCAAAGCCATAACTGAGGAACACTGTTTTCACACTACACTGCGTTATCATTTGGCAGGTCACGATTACATCATCATCACCAATATGCGTTAGCTGAAGGTGTGAAACACCTCAGCTAATGTACCGCAATACAAACGATAGGAGCCTTAAAAGTTACACTACAAAAGAGATTCTAAGCAAGTAATCTGATGTTAAATACTATATTATGCGTTTTGTAAGAGCTCGGGATTGGGGGGGTTGCACGAAGAAACTCACAATACAAACGCCATTGGGGCCGGCTCTTCGCCATATCAGCAAGCGTGTCCAACCATACGTGTTCATCGTCCTTAGGATCTTAGCCAGGCAGTCAGGATGCACCAACCGACGCCACTTTGAAGCGAGGGTTTTTATTGCTCTCGACCAAGTCATCACTTGGCCTCCCCTCCTCTTCCAACCGCACCCCCAGCGCGCAAACCATGCTTATCGCGGGATTCGGTGTGCTGGCATGCGCAACACGTGGCCAAGCCATCGGAGCATAAGTAAAGTAAATCGCCAGCTGTACGCCGTAACTGCGTTTCGCTGCCACGCGACCGCCACCAATCGCGCATGGACTGAGTATACCGCGAGGACGCCCGCCACTACGCGGACTCGAACCGGTGACCTTATGGTTACTAACCAGACGCGCATGCCACTCGGCCACTGTCCGACCCACCGGAGCCTGGTGCGTGATATAATGGTGCTGGGCGGTTCACTCGCTCTTCCTGCACCAAATACGCGACGCCGAACACGCTCATTGCTCACGCGGTGCTCCTACCAGACATGAGCTAAGCTTTTTGTATAGATTCGTCGCACCTAGACATAAGCATACAGCCACCACACATCCAGAAAAGCGTTAGACGGCCGTTTCATCCTATTGGAAATCGTCAGTAGCGCGCACCCGCCGAATCCTTCCGGATTCGAACCCCCGAACTTACTCTTGCGAGTCATTGACTTATGTCACTGAGCCATGGGCGACGGCAGCGGACCGCCATGACTGAGCTAAGCTGCAAAGGCAGCGATGATCTAACGTGACGAGCCTCTTTATATCTGCCCACCTAAGGGGCCAAGTTTCACAACCGTATTTGAGGGTTGAACGGACGAATGCATTCTACACTACTCTTCAGGGCGAGGGTGAGATCGCGTCCGCGCCACAGGTAGCAAAGCACCTCGAGCTTTTTCCAGACGGTTCATAACTTCGTCTTCAATATCATGGGCGCTAATATAGCTGCCCGGGCAATTGAATTTCTGAACGACTTCTAGCTGATCACCACCAATCGTCAGCGCAGGGGTGGATCCATGCCAATCTTGGAGAATGACTTTGCATTTTGATGGAGCGAAGCATACCCCAAAATGATTGACAGCCAGTGCTAATCGGTCCAGTTCTGCTTGGTACGTTTGGGTGCTGTCGCAGATTAAGGTAATATCGTCTCATCTCCAAGTCAAGAAGTCAAGACATCAGAGTTTCCCGTATCGTTCCCCCTTTTCTTCCAAACAAGCCGTGCATCTACTTGGTGCTCCAATTCTTAGTGTAGTTTGTTCACATCATCATCTATTATGTTTCACGAACTGGAGGTGTGCCCAATTGATTTATTCATCCTGGCTCAATATTTCGATTCGCAGTTGTATCAGCTCTTCTAGTCGCACCATCCAAGAGGTTATTACCGGTGGCTTTTCACTTTCTTATTTTCTTATGGAGCAGAGTGTTGTTCACTTGTCCGTTAACTGTGGGAATTAAGGACACAGCCAACCATTGTTGCGCTCTTTGAAAGAGTGGATGGCTGTGACCCTGCTACTTGCACGGCCTTGTCCATATCTTATTGAGTCGCCTCTTGAGTGATGCTTTGGTATGCATGGTTATAACGCCAAACAAAACCATGGAAATCAACAGAAGATGGAAGGTTTAATGGCCTCATCATTACCATGACACATTAGCATAAGATGAACGACACACTTCAGCTGTTGTGCCGCAATAAAAAAGGAGCATTTTTTCTCGTTAAGCATTATGTATATTCATCTAAACAAGTATGTACATCGATCTTCCACATGTTTCGATTGCGCGTTATATCCTGAATTGTTTCCAGCCATCGTCCTTTGGTCCCCAATTAAGTAGGCGTGTGAATCCAACGGCCACTATACGTGAAGCTGTCACCTGGTGAGCGGCTGCTTACCGTGTGGCCTCTTCCAATCTAGCCACGCACGGGGGCGCACTGGGGTAACTGCTCAGCTGACACACGTAGGACAGCCAAGCCATCTTAATTGACGCAGCAAAGCCCGTTGAATGGAATACTCACTTTCCCTAGGATAATGCATCTGACTTCTTCGTTGCCACCACCCACGAGGAATCTTCCTCAAGCATCCATAGTTGAAGACCGAGAGCTGGCGCATGTTATCCACACGAACTAGCCATGACTCAATTCCATATAGCAACACACTGAACGGTGACATTGTTAACACCACCTCTTACCAAAAGGAAGACATCACGACAACGCTACAAATGTTTCAGGTTGACAAGCGTCGACTGAGCTATTACGATGCGAAAGGAAACTTCCCTCTTAATGGTGCCACCAGCGGCCACACAGCTACCCAAGTAGATAATGCTGTCTATGTGCTCAAACTTTGTGCCTTCAAGAATAAGCACGGGAACGGGCGTGTGTCAATCCTGGGGCAACACTTCGACGGTGCAAAGCACCTTCCGTACTTAGATGCCTCAATCGCTAAACTCAGTGAGTCGTCACCAAGTAAAGCTGTGTCATCGGCGTAAGTCAGTCGCTCGTTTGCCCGGTAGCAGCTGCTGACCAAAATAGTGGTAACCTTCCAGAGCTCTCGACAGGACGTCTTAAGTCGCGAAGTTGAAGTGGGACAAGAGCAAAAAGCCACCCTGTCGTACACCGCTATTGACAGTGAAGGTCGAAGAAAGCGTGGCATAGACTCTCATCCTGCGGGAGACGTGAAGTTAGAATGCGCGTAGAATCTCAGTGTAGTTTTCTGCGCCATAGCGCAGGTCGATCAACCGAGTCGAAGGTAGCACGGATATCTAAGGACGCAACGATGGTAGTTCTCTGGTACATGTGGCAGTGTTTGCGGATTTAGCGGAGCCTAATGGTTTGATCCACACACCCACGGCCAGAACAGAAGCCAGCTTGTCACTGTAATTCACTGGTACTATGATTCATGAATCGGTGGTAGCGCGAGGCTTGACGATTGGCCAACTATTGGCTAGCTATTGATCCCATACAACCATGTTTCGTATATCTATATTTTTGCATGACTTATGATTGAGGAGCTTGTACTAGATGACGGAGTCATCCCACAGTTTACGTCTTCTGATTTTTCTGTTTGGCATCGGTGACAGTCTACGAAGCAGAGTGAATGTCAGTACCTTGGAGACAACCGACTTGAGAATAACCCCTCGATGATTAACACCTGGAATGCGAACGCCTTTCTTGAAAATCGGGACAATAACTGATTCGTCCCTGCAAAAAGGCACCTTTCCTTCATGCCGGAATTTTCTGAGCTAAAAAGTCAACTGGTTAATTATTGCCACGCCGCCGTACCTGAACAATTCCAGAGCAAGTCTGTCTGAGCTGTTGCCTTGAATCGTTTTAAGTGTCGAATCGCATAGGTGGATTAAGTATGACGACCCAGGGCTGTCAGTTAGCTTCGCATGGTGCACAAGTGTACAGTGAGGGCAATTAGAACTGGGAGTGAAAATGTTTGTCCTATCTATCAAAGCTCTTCTGTAGGTTTACGATCGCTGACATCACTGACATCATGCTTCCTGTGCCCAGTTGATCGAATGAACTTGCGAATATTGTCAGCGAGGGCAGCGGCATCCATTTCCTAAACACATTGAGACCACCAGACTGTGCGATCACTGCGCAGGCTTTGTTTGAGCTATTGCCTGACAGAACGGCGCGCATCATTATGATTGGAATCCGCGGCGATATTTCTGCGGCCGTCAGATAGATCCAGGGAAATCGTGGAGATCTAGTCTTTCATTGGGTGCCATTCTTGACGCATTCTTGATGCTTCTTCACCGCAGTTGGGCTAAACCAACTTACACTTAAACTAGATCTTTCTGAGTTTGCTAAATTTCATTCCACTTTATTTGGTTTGTTCTGCCTACCTGAATAATGTTCTATTAACAGGCCACGTTGCTTACACTAATTGCGCTTATCTTCGGTAATTTTGTTGCGTTTGTAGCATTTTAAGTAACTTGTGGACATTTCTTACTTTTTGCGGACTCGTTGCTAACCAACTTACTTCATTTGCTAATTTAGCGAAGAGTTATGCCACCGTATCTGTATGCATTATTGGATTTGTTTTATTTCATATTGTCGTTCCAGGTGATTGACTGTTACTTGATATCACCGGTGTGGCTGCGCTTGATGTGCATGTTGACAAGGTGCCTACCTGTTTATTACCCACTACCTCATCCATACTGGCTCCAGGAGACAGTTGGTCGTTGCTGGAGGGGACGGGGTGCATGGTCCGTGTGGCCGTGCTAAGCTCAAAGAGCGGTTCCATGCACTCAGTGTGGAGCGGACTGCGGTTCAGCCACCGCCTTGTGTGTGCTTAATTCCCCAAATACAGCGTGCTTGTGTTTGCCTGTGAAGGAGTGTGGGCCGGCTCCGTTGATGAAACGTGGCTCCAATCCACATGCCTCCCAGTCTTATTCCTTTGGGTTTACACTATATATGGGGTGTGGGGTTGGAGCTGTGGGTGGTGCAGCGCAAGCCACCCATGGTCCCTCTGTAGGTGCAGGCGTCCTGTGGCTGGCCACAGTGACAGGGAAATCCGAAACCGTATGTCGCCAACCGTACCTGTGAACCTAAAAATTAAAATGCGAAAAATAATTGGAGTTCTGCACACCGTACTTTTCGTTTCGGAGATATTTTTGTTTGATTAGAGATTTACTAATGG